GAGAGAGAGAGATTTTTATTTTATTTTATTTCTGATTTTGAGTTTTAGGGAATGCATTTTTTCCAACTTGAGATTCCAGATCAATTTACTTTAAGGTCTAAACAAATCCAAATCTATAAAACTCAAATCTTAAACAGGGACATTTTGAAAATAAATTTGAAACAAGTGAAAACGTGTAATAATAAAAAAAAAATAATGAAGTCTTAGAAAACATCAAATTTACTTTTAAAACCTTTTTTTTTATTATGAAAATTGTCAAACATTCCTTCCTGGATTGCATTTTTTTGTTTTTTTGTTTTTCAAATTTCAAATTACATAACGTGCTCTTTACTATCAACAATACTGGAACACAAGTCGACTCCATAGTGTGTTGGTTGCTGGTTTGGCCTGTTGATTTGTGAATCAGGTTGATCTTTGAAGGTTTCTGAAACCAACATGTTGACACAAGATCTTTTTAGTCTGTAAAGCCCTGAGGTTGGGACATGGGACCTGAAAATCTCACAGATTCTACAAACTGAAGATGCTTTGACTCCATTTAATCGTCCCATTTTGACCTTTGCTAGCCTCTTTCTAGTCGTTACAGCATCCCTAACACATCAACTGTAAGGACAAATTGTTCCCTCGCTGCTAAAATGCATCCTCCCCACTAACAGGTGCCCTGATAAACTGATAGCCAGCGTTATTTTCTTCACGTCAGTGATCATGTCTGGTCAGAGTGCATTATTTTATGCTCCATCACTCACTCTTCCTCACCATTTTTAAAACTTAATCACAGCTTAATTTGAAGTTTTTGAAAATTGTTCAGGTTCAGTAACGCTCAAAGCTAAATCAAAGCACTTATTTATTTTTTTTTTATCTGGAGGTCCCCCTGAAAACAGGGAGGCTGAGTAGAGCTCAGCATCGGAAACCTGATCCGAACACTTTTTCCCAACCTATTCACGCTTCGTTGTTCACCGCCACAAACAAAAGGCTGCGGCGTTGTGAGCTGGTTGCAAATAAAAGCTGCTGCACTGAGAGCATTGATCACCTTCCATCTATTACAAAAAAAAAAAAAATAATCAGTTTAATGAATCTTCTGAAGCGCCCTGTGACATCATTGTTTTTGCTTTGATGGATAAAAGGTAATTTCAAGGAGAGCTGTTTCTTTTTTACAAGACACCGTGTTGTGATCAGTGGTTCAATGTTGAATATCTGAGCTGATGAAGAGCACAGATAATCCAGCTGTATATATTTTTACTGGATGGAAGAAGTCTCAGCCTTCCAGAGGGAAACAGGCGGTTTTACAGCGACCTGTCCTTCCAGTTTGCCAGGCAACACTTGACAGGAACGACTGCTCAGTACATCGAAGGTGGATCCCCCTTTTGTTTCCAGGTTACAGCAGTAAAAACTCATTGTAATATTCATATCCTGTGAAGTGTCTGCATTCACCACAGCAGCCGGCTATTCTGTGTCTGATCACACTCTGTATGCAACAGCTGGGGGGACGTTGAAGACCTTTCCAGGAATCATGTGTAGGAAAAAGCTCTTGTGAAAAAAAAACAAAAAAAAAAACTTGAGAACAGGAGGAGAGTACTGTAGGTCAGAGAGGTCAGACCTTAAATTTATGATACAGAAACGGTCCAAAACAAAGACTTTCTGTACGCAATAAAGTTATTTTTTTATCTCGATGTTACACTGATAAAAGTCATTATTTCTTAAAATAAGTGCATTTGTTCTTGGATTTAGGAGGTAAAAGAGATATTTTGCCAATGGAACAAGACAATTTACATTTAAAATAAGAAAACACAATTGCATTGTCTTATTTCAATTGCATGTTATCTAATTATCTTATTTTTAGAGTAAAAATACTCATTCCATTGGAAAACTATCTCATTTACCTACTCAAATTAAGGGTAAATACACGTAAT